CAAGCCCAGAGACCAAGCAAGATACAATTTTAGAAGAGGCACCCCTACATACTAATACTATAAACTTGGTTTATCGGCTGAATACAATATACGAGAACAAGAGCAGAGAAGCAGATTTTCTAAGAAAAAAAATAATGATCCACTTTCATGGCATAATCAATAGAGCTCTATTCTATTAATTAATAGAGTTGAATGCCTTTGAGAAAATGTTTGGATGAACTGTAAATGCTTGGGATCTGCAGGATTTGAGTTTTCAGATCTCCTCTACCTCATCAAAGGAGGAGAGGCTACAGGGCGTTGGTGTTCACGAGTAACCCAGAGACAGGGTGTAAAAGCTAGGCAGCTTGTGTGTCTAGCCTCCCTGCGTGTCAGGCGTGGTGTTCCATGGTACTCGTTCTAAGCGGAGCCACTAGTTTGGTCGTTTATTGCAGCCCGGAGGACCGGGCTGCTCTATACATATAAGTTTAAGTGTTGGTATATGGGGATTGGGATGGGAGTAGTTATTCAGAATTAAAGGTTTTCTAAACATTGAAAAGAGTGTTAATCAGAATGTTCTTTCTCTTTTTTACTATCGAAATAACGACAGGTCCCTTTTTTAAGAGTATCGAATTCTACTTCTCGCATAAAAACGTACTAGATGCACAGTTCGTGTTTTATATTCTCAAACTGAAAAAAATAAATTTTTGAATAAAGGTGATGCATGTGTCTAACTTCAATTTATATTTTATGCATCCAACATTTTCTTGAGGAATTGATTATGTTTAAAATTGTATCGTTTTTGTTTGATTTTTATCCGACTATAAGTTTTCAAAATATTCGCAACTATCGTCTCCATCAATTAGAGGCATGCCTTTTCACAGACATCGAAGCGTTTGATGATCAAAACTCATTTCCATTGTTTACTTTATATATCTCCCGGGCGACAATTGATGGTTACATCAATGTTTTCTTGTTTAAAGTAATTTACACGTCTTCTTTGACTCCTACAAAAATGTACAAGCAGTTCCAACCAACATTGTGTGTCTTTTATTGATATGATATGATTTAAATATATTTAAAAGGGAGAAAAATGGTGTTTCTAAATAAATTATTGGAAGTGGCGGAAAGACAGTTTTGTATAAAAATGTGAAAAAGGGAGAGAAAGCAAATTTTCATCGATTGCAATGAAAACATAACATCTACTTTTATCTTGATGATAAGGCATACATTAAAATTTGGCAAAGAGGTCAAAATATATCAACTAGAAAGTATTTTTCCCCTCAGATTTACTAGGCTATATACATGTATATCTCTTAAGTGAAATTGCTTATTTTGTGATCATTCAAGCATTGTAGACATTTTCCATCCAAAGGTGCGGTAACTTTATACTGTGGAACTTTATTGGGAAAAAAAAGTTTACTTTTCTTTTGGGGACGTGATCTACGGTCCAATTAATGTGAAATTTTCTTTTAATTAAGAATTTACACAGTTAAATAAAGTTCTATGTTAGTTCTATGTTTTTCCTGTGATCAATCGCCCATTGTGAAATCCAGGCAAAAAATGTAAACGATAACTTACGGCTTAATCAATCTGAAATGAATCTAATCGAAATCAAGGAAGTTTTAATTCCTTAAAGTTAAATTAACATAAAATGCATATTAAGACAAACGCCTTTATTAAAAGTAATTCATTTCTTCAAAATGTAAATAAATTATAATTTTTTATAAAAAAGACAACTTTTTCAATAAAGATTAATTTTTTTTTGAAACTTGCTTGTAATACTAAGTTTTATTTCACGAAGAAAATTGTTGATTGTCTATAATAATAAAATCACTACAGTTTTAAGACTGACATTTTATTTAAATGAAAAAAACAACAGTCTAGTGTTGATTGTTCATTATAATGTTTGGAGTGTATGGCCATCTGATCTGAAGAAAATCTGAAATCTATTTTTTTTTAAAATATCGATCTCCTTAATCTTGGTTATTCCAGATAAAATAATCTCACCTGACGATAAGCTAGAAATCTTTTTTTAAAGTTCTTTTGACCGCAGTTTAGCTAAGTCTTATCTGCTCTGTCCTATACAATTTTGCTAAAATACATCTTTACCGAAACCTTACTTAGAAAACCGATTCTGTAGGAAATACCCGTTTAAAATATTACTCGGAAATGAGACTAAAAAAATCAATCATTATTTATAATGCTTATCTAAGGCGTTAAAAGGTAGTGAAAAATAAGGTAAACTGTCAGACTTCCACCAAAACCGAGACTAATATTTTGTAGTCACATTGGACCACGCAATGGACAACAAAACGCTTACATCTACAGAATACAGTGACTGTAATTGCAGTAAATCGGCTAATTTTTATTACAAGCGAAAGAAAAAAGGGCATAATTTCAATATTTACAAGGGGAGAATGTCCTCTTGTTGCAACGATATTCAAACTGCAGTCGTGAGAGTAAAAGCAAACGGGAAGGGGTTTAAGGACGATCTTCTAGACTACATTATTGCCTCGCAAGCTGCACACGATGTTGCCAACAAGTTTTTAAAACAATGTAGTATATTTATTCATTTTCCTGAGTGTCATATTGCAGAAATGGACACTGTTGCTATCTTTGACAGATTCATTCCCGGAGATTGCCGGAAACTTTCAGACAACGAATTCGTTTTGTTTGAGCCTTACTTAAAAGATATCCAGAACTTCGTCACCAGAGAAGGAACGATTACAAAGTTTTGTCCCGTGGTGATTCAGGAACTTTGCCATTTTTCATTTCATGAATCAAAGGGAAATAATATTCTGAGGGGCTTGAAGGGCTCTTGGGAGAGAAATGGAAAAAGTTTTCAACTCGCATCACCTGACACGAAATATTTTCCAGAGAAATGCTCTGCAGGTGAAATTCAGTGTGCCGTTACCAACTTCTTTTCAGTCCACACATGTTCAAGCCGCTGTAATAAATGGATAGTGCCCAGTCAAGTTCATTCATTAAGAACCGAAAATCACTCTAATGCCTTATATTTAGATCTTCCCCCACCATATGAGAGCATTGATTTTGCTAAATGACAATTTCATGTTTAAATTTCTTTATGAAAAATGTTACTTTTGATATCGATGCTTTATTTTTAAAAATATTATTGCAATATTGTAAGTGTTCTATTTTTTTTTAACAGTAATTTGTAAACACATAATTGTTGCTTTAATTTTGTGAACTTATGTTTACTTAATATCCTTTCATTCTGTTTTTTAAATAAACTGATCAGAATTAACAGCCTTTTTTGGTTTTATACATTGTTTACCCTATATCCAATGTCCATGAAAACACTATACATTTATGCTCGTCAATTTAAAAACTATAAAATTCATTAATGCAAAAATGTATCATTACCAATAATACATATAAGAAATAATAAGTAAGAGCTGAGAACCGTTGTAATTTCCAAAACAAAGAACAGTATTCAAGATCAAAAGCAAAAAAAACAATACAATATATGAGCAGAGCAAACACGGACCTCCAAAACATCAATATGAAATGTCTCTTACATCTAGCCCAAATATCAAATTAATTAAAAACATAACAAAGTGAGGTATACGTTTCAGTGTGTTGCACTGAACAAGTGAGAAATTCAATGTATCACATAATATCCCACCTGTATTGTTATTTACAATTCATTCATCCTGAGGTCATTATACATATTTACTTGTATGGAGAGGATACACGTACGCTATTAGTATTGCAATGCCTCTTGCCCTATATTCATTTATTTATTTTATAAATACCGTTTAAATATGATATGGCATAGATAATAAACGTTATTAAAAAGCACAAATTCCGAGGCTATATAGTATAATCTTTCGAATAAAACTCAACCTTCAATTCTGTATTTCAATCATGATTCTAAAATTCATTACACATGGTCATTTATAAAATATTATCTACATGAATGAAATCGTTTCAGTAAAGTTGGTATATTAACAGTAAATTCCAAGAAACAGCGCAATATGATAAAAACCATTTCTTTACGATTTTTATGTGCGGATTCTAGGCAAGGACTCTCAGCTTTAATTTAAAGCTTTAAATTGGTTGTAAATTGAAAAGTTAGACGTGTGTATATAGGGTCAAGATGTGCACAAATGAACCTTGTTAATGTTAGAAGTAAGGGTCTAGCGGGTTAAACTTAGGCCATGATGGAAAACAAGACTCTAATGTGCACGGGACTTGCGATTAATAAACTTGATGTACCTAAAACACTTTGCTAAATATAATGTTGAAAAAATTGTGGGCATAGTTCTTGATATGAATTGGAGATGTGACACACGGGTGATACTACCTCTCACCCTCTTGTTAGGATGTATTCCAAAAGACCGTATACAGTGTATAAATCATTAAATATTACCAACGTCAATATTTCATCCAACATTTTATTCAGAATTGTTTGAAACCAGGCTGGGACTATACGAATATAAGGAAGTGTATTAATAATGTTTAAAGTAATCTATAGCATATAGGCACACGGACTCATTTATACGTACCGACACATACCTACACAATTATAAAACTTATACTAGTTTTTTTTTCTTATCTACTCCCACATATAGTTTCAAATTCTTTAATTTTCAAAAAAAAATATGCCATATAGTGTTTCACGATAGAAATATACAAAGTTAAAAAGTAAGACAAAAAAATCTACCCCAATTAAATTAAAATTAATAGCTTTTATAATATTGTAAAGTATTCTGTACAACATGATAATTTCATTATAACGATATAGTTGAAGTGTGGATAAACAGACGGACAATATGAACTGATTAATCCTACATGGCTCCCACATTTCATTCAGACTTAACGTACACATGAATAATGTTGTTTTTATCATTTAAAATTAGATTTCTCGACTTCAATGACTGGACTTTAAATTTATCAGTGTATAAAATCTCACCTATATACATTTTTAAAAGGATGTAAAAACCTAATCTATTTATAGCGCTACAAAATTCCGGGAAATCCAATGATTTGTTTACATGTTTCTTATTTAATAAAGATTTTATCGCCTCCCATGTCATTTTACATTACCTTGTCGTGATAAAACAGATAAAAAAGGAATCATACCTAGGTAATTATTAATACATGTACATGTTTAATTTACTATTAAAGAACTTATAAATATTAGATATACTTTCAACGCGATCGGATTGTTGACAAACATTTAATTCTATTTTTGGTTTTCTGAATTTCAATGCACAAGTTGTGTTTAATCACTCCTCTTTTAAATATAGACTGAACTTGACGATTTTTTTTGTCCTAGAATTTTTTTCTTAACTTATACTTTATTTACTTTCAGATATATCTCAGCATGAATAACGGAACCCTACCGTCCTTACAGCGGAGTGGATGTTCGTGTGAAAAATCTGCGAATTTTGATTTTCGTCCCAAAATCCGGGGAAGGAAATTCACTATTTACAAAGGTAAAATGCATTCTTGTTGCAATGACATTCAGACTGCAGCAGTTAAATTTGACTCAACTAGAAAAGGTTCGAAAGAGAGCTTAGAAATTTACATAAAGGAATCAAAGACAGCCCATGATATTGCCAGAAAGTTCTCAAAAATGTGTAATGTGACGATTAGATTTCCAGAATTACATCTAGCAGTCATGGACGAAGTGTCTTTCCTAACAAATACTTTATCCGATAGTAGAAAACTGTCCAGCGAAGAATTCGTTTTGTTTGAACCGTTCATTAAGGGCAGACTTGAATACTTCGTGACATGTGAAGGCATTGTCACAAAGAAATGTCCACAAATCATTCAAGAACTCTGTCATTTTTCTTTCCAAGATTCCAATGGAACTAGTCTTCTCCGAGGTGTCAAGGGTCAGCAGATAAGAGTAAACGGTAAACATAGGCTACAACTTGCCTCGCCATCTACCTGTGTATTTTCAGAAGGAGGCTGTGAACCAGACATCCGGGTAGCTGTCAAAAACTTTTTTGATACACATCAGTGCACACAACGCTGTGAAAAGTGGTTAAATTGTCACCTATATGAAAAGTCGCATTTAACTAATTTTGTGGGATCTCCCCCGCCGTATGTGAGTTAAAAAACAACTTAAAAAATGAAATTCTAAAAAAAAAAGAATTAAACTTTCATACATATGAAATTATACATGTATGTGAAGCTTCCTCTGTATTGATACAATGTGTATGTGTTAGTACAGTGTACAATAAAATGTTCATGATAAAAATAAATGCGTACTTGAATTTTTAACTTCTTTTGCTGTCAATTCTTCGCATTTTACTTAATTTTAGAAATGGTAGTGTGAATAAAATTAAATAATATATTCTTATAATGACAAAATTTTGTTTGAAACGAATGAGTAAGTTGTTATATGTCGAGCCATTACTACTAATGTAGTTTAATTGCAAATAGATGTTAAAGACAACTATTTATCAGAGATATAGCTGTTTTCCTTATCCATCACCCATCACCTTTGATTAAATACACTTATATTATTATAATTAAAACGAACACTCATTGGCGTTTAAAAATTATTTATTCAAATGTACATTAAATTTCATTATATATTTCCTTGGTAAACTGGCAATATTCATGACGCTGAATATATAAAATGGTAACGTAATAAACCGTTTTTTTAATCACTCCAAAACTACTTATCAACACCAGTTGTGGAAATGACTCTAAAATATACTATTACATAAGTGCATAAATTCAGTATCAACTAAACCATATGCATTTAACAGGAAACCACACCATTGACACATTAAAACGATCGCCCTGCCTAACTGTCAAGGTCAAGTTTGCTTATATCTTTCTCCAATCTCTGTCTAAATTGTCAATCCTATATCTGATATTATATACTTAAACATTTGTAAAATAAGAAGTATTTAAAAGAGCATTATAATTCACAAACTTTACTTTGAAAAGTAAAAGCTTTAAATTACTTCCTCCATGTACTCTATTGATTAACTCTCGGTCAAAGGTATACATTTAAATCTAGAATCAAATATTCTTCGTCTAGTATATCGAGATTTAAACAATATTTCTATCTGATAACCTTGCATCTTTTTTATCAATTTTGTTTTGATTAAATTCTTAGGTCAAAGGCTCTGTATATGTAGGTAATTATATATCTAGTATGACATAAATGTGAGCTTTAAACAGGCCTTTTTATGCACTAGTATTAATTTTCGTACAGAACTAAGGTGAAAAAAGGCATCCAATATTCCGAAATCATTTTGTTTCAGGTAGGAAATAAAAAGGATAGGCCTAACATTGTGCTATTTTGTGTTTCTAAACTAAAAATCAGTCTCAAAATTACGTGGTTTTCTTGACTCATACCTTAAAACTGGAAGTTCTACTTTACAAGGAAGTTAATCATACAGGTTCCATTTTATAATTCATTACATGGACGGTCTTTAATTTATATCCACTTCACCGACAAAAAAAGGTATTAAAAACATAATCAAAACGAAACTAAACAAACAGATAAGCTTGAAAAAGTTCAATAAGATCATATAAAGCCGTATGTCTACATGCTAAAAGTACATAAGCATGCATGTAACAATAGATGCCCTAGAGGGGGAAGAGATCCTACACAAACATGTAGGAATAAATAAATATTTGTACAGGTGTATAAATATTTTTATTTAAAAAAAAGAAAAATTGTGTGTGAAAAAGAGAAAAAAGAACTATAATTAGTATATGAAAAAGTCAATTTGTTTAAGTTCTTTAAATTTGCATTGAAGAAATTTATTTAAGGTAAGTCACTTGTGAAATTAGTTATATCAAGGGTTTTTTTGAGAAGTCTATTTCAGGTTAGTAATCATAGAGCATGACCCAAAATCACATAGAAAAAAAAAGAATCACTGTGCATTTTCCTGTGAAACGGTACAATTAATTTGATGTTTTCTCACTTAAATCCTAAATCACAAGTTAATCAATTTAATCTTTATCATATTTAATCTGATTTGTGTAATCATGGCAAAAATCAAATCTCAATTTACCTACAATATTTTGAATACATAATAGCATTGAACCAATCACATTGATCCGCATAAAGCATCAAAAGTATTAAAGTTGGGGGTATTGAAAATCTAAATGGGCAATAAAATACTTTATTGCAACAAGTTTTTTGGGATTTAGATGCTAATTGGTTAAAAGAATGGCGTAGTTTGAAATAATTAAAGTTTGTTTGTTGTTTGAATAGCCTGCATCTACCTGGCATTTCTTTTGTATGGAACTTGCGAGTTGAGTTCTATAGTCCAGTCCAGTCAAACCACGACTCGCCAAATTAAGTATACAGTGTATCCATGGTGTATCTGTTTTATTTTGTTCTAAAATAAATCAAATGAAAAGTAGATACACATGTAATATCACACTGACAGATTTCTGATAAATTCAACAAAAGCACAAATAAAAATGTATAGGTATAAGAGAATCTCCGCCACTGTCACAGTGCAGTACCAGATTTCTCCCCAAAACTAAACACCTGAAAATGATGGTGGGGGATATTCAAGACAATGTTTGGTCCGTGTGTATTCTTGCCGTCTTTTCCTATCGTCTTGTCTTCATAAAGGAGGTAGTTGTACTGGATCCTTCTATGAACATTCCAATTATTTGTATTTTTTTTGGGGGGGGGGGGGGGGGTAAAAAGAAATCCGAATTGCCTAGAAGGGCGTGGTACTGTTATATTTTGTGCAAAATCGAAATTAATGTGTAGTGGGCCTTTACATAATCGGTGGAACAAGATACATAAAATGGAGTATTATATTATTTTCATATGTGCAATGTATTTTTTAAGCAAATGCCATCTTTTGAAAGATGAAATAAAAAAGATCCCTCACTGCTCAATGGCCCTAGGTGCAGAGTGTAGGACAAAATTTGTAGGTCTCCCATAGCAAGTGGTAGCGTCTCCATTTGAGTGAAAAATTCTCGAGAGGGATGGTAAACTACATACAATCAAAAAAGTTATTAAAAAGCGTGAGATGGAAAAGAATAAAAATGATAAAGATCCTTAATTATAATATGAGGTAAAAATGGCTTAAAATTAAGGTAAAAGAAAAGAAATTAATTTACTGCATCCATATACACACTTTACTTCTTAACATTCCTCAATGCAGGGAACTATTGATTTTGGAGAATGAATGCAAAGCTTTGGTCCACAATATATGCTCTCAATAGTGACATTTTCTTACCTTATGATTTCTCAAGGTATACTTTGGCTGACATCATGACTTCTTATGTTGGCATTGGCCGACGTCATGAATTTTCAATGTAGGCATCGGCCGACTTCACGAGTCCTCAATGCAGGCATTGGTGGACTTCATAAGTTCGCAATGCGTACAATGTTATAGACAATTGATGACAAATAAAACATGGGGAGGTCAGTCTCCTGGCTCACTTGAGCCTTTGGCTTGGGCTAAAATAAATGAAACTTTTAAAAAATTATTCTAGATATTACTACCAAATGCTGAAAAAGATAATTATAATTATACCCTCGATTGAAAAGCGGGAGCGTATATAGTAATCGGGATGTCCATCCACCTGTTACGCTTTGGGGTACCCATCTCTTATATCCGCAACTCTTCTAATATCACTGAATGAAATCTTTATTTCATATTGCCATTGTGACCTTCTATTTTACTTTTTGACCCGACACATATTTTAGGTTTCCCACAGCAAAACATAAAAATTTTTAATTCATATTTTTTGTCTTATTCTTATTTTAGAGCTACTTCCCTTTGCCCGTCCGAGTTGTTTACATATGTGAGCTAAACATGCATTATATGGGAGGCGGGGGCTCTGTGCTCACAGTACCTCTCAGTTTATCTTATAGAAAACTGTACCTGTATAATATTTGAATTTTCGTGTAATATCGGTATTGGAATTTCAGATGGAATGGCAACAGCTTCTGCGGATAACACTGGACCTCCCATGTTTGAGTCAAGAAGTGTCAGTGCTTGTTACCTCATCATGGGAAGACGTTAGACAGAATAGTGATCTTTTTTTGAGCCCTAGAGCTAAAGTATCGAACAAAGAAGGCTGTTTTTGTGTTACACAATAAAGCTAGTAGGTACATTCATTAAAATTGATATGGTTATTAGAACATTGTAAATATTAAAATCTATACAAATATTCCCGATCAGTTACCAAATAGTCCAAGTCAATACAATCATATCATTGTTTCACATGTACATACATATTAGATGAGTTTATTATTAGTACACATGTAATGTTATTGTAAAGACATTATTTTATTTCCACTGAAATATCATGAAAAATTATTTACTGCTGAATTATAACAATTTGTCCTAATTTCTCTACTCTCATTGAAGGTAAATTTACTCAGTCATGTGTGCCTTCTAACAAGGAGAAGTGTCATGCCCGAATTATTGGAATGAAATTAGAATTGCAGTTCTTTGAGAAACTCCTAGGTGGTGGGAAGTTCATGGAGGAAGAGAGAAACCTCGTTTTATACAGTGGAAAAGGTTTGGAATGAAATGTTAAATAGTAATTATAGCTTTGTTCAATACTTTTCCTTAATTATTCAAATGACTTAGGAATACTTATCCTTTACAGAAGTAAATTACATCGTACCCTATAATGATGTATGCTGTCTTAACTTGAACAGTTCTCAGATTTGTTGGCATCATTGTTGTGTAGCTGTGACCTTAAAAATTACGTTCCAGAAGAAGCAATGAAAGCTGCCCAGTTACTGGAGTTGAAAAGAAAAGAAATGTTTCTTCAAAGCAACCGGATTGTTGAAGATGAATTGCAATGAAATTTCATGTCACGGCCTGGGGTCCGCATATATGGCTCTCTCCTACCCGTGGCTGCTTGGTCACAAAAAGTGTCGTTATCTTGAATATTTACGCCTCTCTATTGTGACATCATATCAGTCATTGACAAGTTTTGTTTACACCGCAATTGATATCAACAATAATATTGACGTCACAGTATACAAGAATTTTTTCTTAAACTGCAATTAGATATTGAAAGGTTGCATCAAAGTTCATTTTCCGACAATGCTTCACTCGCATTGGTCAAATATTTCAGTGATCTACGAAATATTCTCTATTCATTCAACCACGGCCAGAATGGAAGAGGATCGTACATTATGGCCGTGGTTTGGAAGAGGATCGAACATTATGGTCGTGGTTTGCAAAGATACCACCCCCCAGTAGAATGATTTTGTATTTGAAAGAATTCATTTCTAAAAAATA